ACACCTGTTGTTGGAGAGGAGGAAGGACCAGCAACCCGAGACAGGGAAGCACAGGGGAAAGAATAGGGGTAGCTCGGGGACTGGTGGGGGATCGGGTGGACCTCTTTCCTCAGTGTGGGGTAAAGTGTCTGTTGTTTCGGTTGTCATATCACTGTTTATTCTTGTATACTACTTGTTCGCATTTGTGCTACTTCCGACAAAGATCTAGAACCCCGAGCGGAGATCCTATGTGGGTAGCCGAAAACAGACTTGATGATGTTCTATAGAGATCAGTTACAATCAAAGCCTCGCCATATCTCCATCCTGGATGCACAGGAGTTTTATGAGAAGAAAACGTATCAAAACTGTTCCATCTTCCTGTATTTTGCCTCTAACTTACCTGCTTTACTTGATGTGGTACTGGACATTGACAACGATTCTCGCCGATACGTATAGTCAAAAAATTGTAAATTTATTTATCGAAATGGCCATTGTTAGTTAGCATAACGGTTGTTGATGACATATCTATTATCTCTTTATCTTTTATCTCTCTATCTATCTATGTATTATCTATGATATATTTAAATGCGGGCTTCACTATCTCGCCATTTTTAAGCTTTTTCAGCGCATTATTTATGCATTTTTAACGAAAGATTTTTTAACGTTAAAGCTATATCGAATATTGCAATAGATTTTTTCGATTTTCCAGTTTGAATTCAGTGTTTATTTCACCAATTTTGGAATGAGCAACCCAATTGTGGGATGCTGTCAGGGTTCCCCGAGGTTGCGAATTGGGCCTTCAATTATGAATACCCAAATCCTTGTAGATTACGAGAAATTTTTAATTTAAAAAGTTTCACACAATTTGAAATTCTCAATCTTTTAGTTGGGCGGTGTCAGGATACTCTCAGGATAGTGAATCTTGCCTCCAAAGATGACTGCTCAAATCCTTCGAGATATTACACTTTTTTTCTTTTCAGAAAACTTAGATTTAAAAAATTTGAAATTTCCAACCCTGGAGTTGGAAGCTGTCAGTGTACTCCCAGGGGTCGCATTTTTTGCCTCAAATTATGACTGCTCAAATCCTTGTAGTTTTTGAGACATGGTGTTTCTATAGTTTCAGAAAACTAAGATTAAAAAAGTTCAAAAATTTTGCAATTTCCAACCCTGTAGTTGGGTATATGCAAATATTTTTGTTTGCGACTGTTAAAATCTTGGGTCCAAATGCGACTGTTCAAATGTTTTTAGTTTCCGAGGTATGATGTTTTTTATGATTTGTCCAAAAGTTTTGAAAACTTGGATATAAAATTTTTAGAAAATTAAGAGTTTCACAAACCTATAGCTGGGTGCTGGCAGGGTATTCTGAGGGACTTGAAATCTTTTTGCCGAGAGTGACTGCTGAAATCATTTTAGTTTCCAAGCTATGACGTTTTTTCAAGATTTTCAAAAAAATCAAAAAGCTGAATTTTTAAAAAGCTTTACGAAATCTTTAATTACCAACTCTAAAATGGTGTGCTTAGTGTAGTCGCAATTTTTTCCTCCAATTTTGACTGCGAAAATTATCTTACTTTCTCAGACATGCCATTTTTCTATGTTTTTTCAAAATTTTTCCAAAACGTCAAGTTTCAAAAAAAGATAACTCAGTTTGAAAATGTCAATACTGCTGGGCTGCTGTTAAGGTACTCTCTGGAAGCTTATATCTGGACACCCCAGATTGCAGTTCAATGCATTTCACTTTCCGAGGTATGACGTTTCTACGATTCTGCAAAAGTTTTCAAAAATTTCAAAAAGAAATAACTTCAAATATTGAAATTGTGTGCTTAAGCAATATACTACAAGCATTTGCAGATGTGGCCGCCGTTCTAATATCATTGCTGAAATTGTTCAGGTTTATGAATTTGACGTTTTTTATGGTATTTCAAAATACTCATTAAACACAGAATCAAACTAAGAAAAAAGTTTGATGTTTCTAAATAATTTACGATAGATTTATCTAATGATTGAAGCAAAGGAGATATGTACGGGCTAGTGAAATCTAATGATTGAAGCAAAGGATGTATGTACAGGCTAGTGAAAAGAAAGAACTATGTTAAACGAGAGTCTGATTCATGAGTTCAGTGATTTTGCCAATGAAATCGTCAAATATAGAAAATGAAATTGTATGCTGTCAGCGTTTGTTTGTCTGCTCAAGTTTTGTTGGCTTAGGCGACATATCAAGAATTTTTCTTAAGTTGTAAGCTAAAGTTATGGTAATTGCAAGTGTTGTTCAGTGTGCTTTCAGGCGTACTTTTTCTTGGCTCAACTGGTGTCTGCTAGAAGATTATATTGTTTTTAGCAGGCGTGTTTTTAGCTTCGTAAATTTTGTTCCGCTGCTAATTTAAATTTCAAATGCTTTGCTTGGCATGTTTGCTTAGAACTCCTGTTTGATGAAAACAGGTATCATGAAAACATTTTTTTGGATTGAGTTTCAATTTTTTTGAGACGCTTCGGTACTTTTTTCACTTGTTGCAAAATAGGTTGTCTTAAAACTGCTCTTCCGAGTTTCAAAAAAAATGGCTACCAGTAGAAATTCGCCTTTTTCTCTGTGTGTCTGCATGGTCCACTTGTCTTTTTCGACTTTACCGCACTGTCTACAGCCTTCGGAAAAGTCAGTGGGGACTATCTGACCCATTTTTTTTGGATTTTATCGTTTTCTCAAAAACTATCCCCCCAAGTCTGAAATTTTGGTTTCAAAGGTCAGATCCAGCCTTGGCAAGTTCGACTGCATGAGTGGTTATATCCAAGTTTTTTTACACAGAAAGTTCTGGCCCTCAGAATTGTCAAATGTTTGTTTTTGCTCGTATCTCGAATCTTTTTGATTTTTCTCAAGAACGCTCGCAATTGAGGGATTTTGGGTTCAATCCCAAAACGGGATGTGAAAAGCTCCTGTGCGTTGTTGGATGCACCGTCTATTGATACGGTTGCATTCCCTTCGTTTTTTCATAATATATATTAGCAGTTTTGACGTATATTAATATGTTTAGAGCATTGGAGGTGATTTACACGCTAGTTCATCTTAAAATCGTGATTAAATGTTTGCGATCACAGTTTTTTTCAATTGTTTTCGTGACAATATTAGACACATTTTTTGAAAGACTGATGACACTTCCAGCTGCAACTTTTGGATTTTATAACGTTATGCATGCAGACAGAATGTGCTTGTAATTGGGTAATTACCTTTCTTGTCAAATGTCAACGATCGGTCACTGCAAGTTAACAAAATAACCATGAAGACACTAAAATAAGCTGGGCTTTCTATTATGCTGAGTTAGGTTCTGAATTCATCGCGTTATTTAATTCATCAGCTCGGTTTAATTGTTTTTTTTTAAACTTGCGATAGCTTGTTTTGTAACCAGGAACTAGATTTTTTCCTGTAAACAATTTTTCTTAGAAGTAATTCTTTATTTGTTATTGAACGTTAACAACTTCCAGGTTCCTTCCCATTTCGCTTGGACGCAAGGCGTTCACCTTTGCACCCAAGGGATGGGGTGTGACTCTCGGCAGGACCTTGTTTGTTTCAGTATGTATAAAATTGAACAAAAACTTCCGGTAAATTTTATTTGTCACGTTTGTTTGCCTGCTCAAGTTTTGTTGGCTTAGGCGACATATTACGGATTTTTCTTAAGTTGTGAGCTAGTTTCATGGTAGTTGCAATTGTTGTTCAGTGTACTTTCTATTACTCTGTTTAGAGCATTGGAATTGCGTTACACGCTAGTTATCTTAAATTCCTGATTAATTGTTCGCAGTCACACTTTTTATGTTTTGAAAGACTGGCGACACTTGCTACAAATTTTGGATTTTATTATGTTATGCTTGCAGACATAATGTGCTTGTAATTGGGTAATTATCTTTCATGTCAGATGTCATATCGTTCGGTCACTGCAAGGTAACAAAGTAGCCTTAAGAGACGGTAAAATAAGCCGGACTTTCTATTATGCTGAATTAGACTTGGAATTCATTGCTTTTTGTGGAAAGCACCATTTTTTTTACTCAAAGGCTATGATTCGAGGAAATTCGATTTGAATATTCGATAAGTTTACCGTTTTATGGAAACTTTCTGACTATTCTCAATAACTATCCGGCCAAATCTAATATCAAGTGTTTTATCGAAAAAACAGTTTGCTCAATGCCTCTATTTATGATGGTCTACACCCAATTTTTTTAAAGGAAAAAGCTATTGCTTTCAAAAAAGTCAAGAGTTTTGAAACTTTTACCGTTTTTTGGAAACTTTTTGATTTTTCTCGGAAACTACCCTGCCAATTCTCAAGTTTAACGTTCAATAGATACAGCCAGTTTTAGGAATTTTTTTGTTTATGCGGTCACGACCTAAATTTTGCAGAAAAAAGTTATGGATATAGGAACTTTTGACCCTTTTTTAGAAACTTTTTGAATTTTCTTAGAAAGTACCATATCAAATTTGAGATGAAGGGTATCAAAAGAACTAACTGCGACAGTTTTTTCTGCAAAAGTAGCGAATCCTTTTCCTAAGAAAATTGTTATATTTTTTTTCTAAGAAAAATGTTAAATTTTTCTCTTAGAAAAATGTTATATCCTTGAAAAAGTTTTCACTCTCACTTTTTTCTTAGAGAAACAACTAAGCTTTTTAGGCAATGACCAATTTTTGAAGAAAAAAAATGCATTTCATCCCGAATCTCAAAAAATATCAAACACGTACCGCCAGCTTTAGCTGGGTCCCTAGTTATCTTTTTTTGAGGCAAACAAAATTTTTGGTTCTCTTATTTTTTTTAAATTTTTTTGTATCGCTATTGGTGTGAAGCTCCTCTTGGCCTCGGCGTTTCACTAAGATTCGGAAAGGAAGCCAAATTTTAATAATTTTCACGCCGATTCAATTGGTTTTAAGAGCTCGCGCAAAGAAGATTTCCGCAACGCAGGCGAGGTTTTGATGAAGCGTTACTTAATTCGTTACTGATCATCTCTGTTGTTTGATAGTTGATTATCCTCACTCTTTTTGGATAGTTGCTCGACCACTGATCTCCTTTTAGGCTGTGTATGATAGAATGGTATACGAATTGAGTTTAGAGGCAAGTGCCAAAATGTTTCTGCACGCTGCAAAACACCCCTGCAATGCAGTGAACGGAGTGCTAATAGGCTACGATGAGATCTCAACGGGTAATACCCACATTATAGACTGCATACCTTTGTTCCATTGCAACATCAACCTGCAACCGATGGCAGAGGCCGGTCTTTACATGGTAGATCACTACTGTCAATCGATTTCATCCCAGTCATCCTCGTCTGATGGTGATAAGAGCCGAGTGCACATAGTTGGATACTACTTCGGTCCCGAGTTACAACACCTCAAGGTATGCAAAATTAATTTCTTGCCCTTTGATTCAAAAAACAATTTTATTTTTATAGTCCCTTAAACCAGTTTGGTATCACCGAAAGGACACCTCTTCTTTCTTATTTATACATGTATGTTCACAATATAAAACCTCTTCTGGGTAATAACATCCCTGCTACTAAATGATTTAGGGAATTGGGAATTTTAACGTGATTAACAGCTTGGGCAATTATAAAAATATTTCTTCAACAATTTGTAAAGAGTTAGTGTTATTGCTGTCTCGGTATTAGTTTTAGCCCGGAATCTGACAAAAGATTAATGTTTTTTTTAACAGGTGGAGCCGAGCAAAGGCAATGTGCTAGGATTAAGAATGTCAGAGAAGATAGCTGAAAACAGGGAGGGTGGTCGATCGTGTCTGTTCGTATTGGGTAATGAGCTGCCCATCTCAGATAGCCTCCACCACAACTTCAGATTGTTCCTATCCAGCAATAACTCAAACAACGACTCATCTGGGGGAGGGGGAGGAACAATAGAATGGACTGCCGCAAAAGGAGGAGATATAAGGTCAGTTAGGTTTCCAGTCATTGTTTAGGCGATGAAGCAATTCGGCAATCAACATTGAACAGCAAATCAAATGGCTTGACAATAAACCGAAATTTTGCGGTTTTTATGAACAAAGTGGGACTCATTTTCTCAGTTATTCAATATGAAATGTATAGGAGTAGAAAGATAGAATCAATACTTGAAAACACTTAGTTTTGATTTGTCGCCAGAATGTTTCCGAGGAAGTTTTACCGACCTTGCTAATATACGTTGCAGGTGTCTGGACTCTGACTCTGGCACTGCTGCCGGGACTGCAGTTATAGCTTTGCTTTGTGGTCGAACGCAACAACAGCTGATAGACCTCGAGGATCATTTGGCCGACATAACTCTCAACCCAGACTGGACAAATTCTGGTCTCAATTCCATCATCCAACAGACTTAGCAAAAAAAAACATTAATTTATATACTGTGTCATTGTTAATGTCATATCTGTTTCCGTAAAAAAGGACGATTATCTGCCCCTAGAATACCTCTTTGGTTAACTTTTTACTTCAGCGCAAAATTCGCTTCAAGTTCGGCTTGTTTCGACATTGGCAAACAATGATTTAAGTAAATTTTTTTTTCAAAATTGTACTTGCTCGAAAATAAATGTCTTAATTGATGTTTAAACATTCTTCCCTCTGCTTGATAAATTATTATTTTTACGTATTTAAATCTTTTCAAACCTCTGTTCAACCGGCCTCAAAAAATAAATAGTACACTTAAGATTTACAGGCCAATAATATTTTGATATAGATCAAATTCTGGTAATTCTCGAATTTACGAAGATTGAGGTGGGGTAGTAGAACTGCAGACTTATAACTGCCGAAAATAAAAGGTTATTCATCTGTGCCAAAAAAATTATTTCCTTTTCTGTTTTTAACCAGCGTGGATGACTAAAAAGCTCATTAACTCCAAATGGCTGAATAGCAAGACAAAGCAAAATTGCTCCTATGAGGCAAGGCCTCCAATATTCCGACTGACCCTTTTTTGTTCCGACCATTTGAAAAATGGTTAGGAATTTTGTATTCGGTAGAGTTTTTTTTTTGCTTTTTGTTTTCCACGCAAATCAGGCACCACAAATATACATCGGACGGTTGATTGATATATCATATTAAAGACTTTTCAGTCGTTTCAAAACTTTTTGATTTTTGTGTTAATTTAAGCGAATAAAGCAAGCGAGCAGGCTTACAACAGCTAAATTATGGCTTATTTAGGACCGTAAAACTTAATTTTAAGCAAGTAAAAATTGTTTTTTGGAGTTTTTTGCTTCATTTTGGGATTCAAGAACTTCAAAAATTCAAAAATGTTCTGCAGAAATTTTTGAATTTTTTTTTTAATATATCAGATTTTCTAGTCAATTTTCTATAGAATTTTTGTCCAATTTGTCAAACATGTTCTGCAGAAATTATTGAAAATTTTTTCAGATTTTCTAGTCAATTTTCTACAGAATTTTTGTCCAATTTGCCTTTATTACTATGACTTTTTAATATGCCTTAATTATATTTTTACATCAGATCCTTTTATCACACCAAGCAGAAAAAACTACACTAATTTGGAAAAAGAAACTTTCTAAACAATAGTTTTCTAAAGACCATGGTCGGAACATTGTGCTACTTGCACAGTAACCGCCTATCCTTGCAGGTATTTGCATAATTTTTTCAAAATAAAAAGTTCAACAAAGTTTTGGTTTCTAAAATTTATCTTTTTGTTAATTCCCGTTCACACAATGTCAAGAATGAAGTAATGTTTTTATCATCTAGTAACTACTTTTTTGGAGCTATTGGGTTGCCTCAGTGTACCGACTATTGAAAATGGGGAGGAACTGGTATTTTAATTTTTTAACGCAAAATCAGGTACCATAGATATTCATTGGAAAGGGTTGAGTGATGCATATTAAAGCCCTTTCAGTCATGGTTTCAACAATTAAAAAAATTGAAATTTCCTAGTGTCGAGAATCAACGGTATGAATTTTTTTTTAGTTTAAGAGTGGCTTTGATCTATAATTACTTTCAGGGGCGGATCTAGGGTTTTCTAGAGGGGGCGGAGTCTCGAAAAAATTGAAAAATTTTGTCGACCTTTCTTATTTTTAGGTCGGCCAAATTATTTTTCCGAGCTCTCCCAAAGCTCTACTAAAAAGACCCTATTTAGGCCAAAATTTTGAAAAAAGGGATTTTAGGCACTTTTTGAAATATTTTGACCAAAAGTCGCGTTATTTCGGCAGGTACTCCCCCCTCAAAATTAATTTACATTGGCGCCTCAACAAATTTCTTAGGGTCCGTCACCAAAAACAAATATCTCAAAATAGACGAAGGGGTGATCCTTTGGGTCGGTAGAGAGCCGAATCCCTAGGTGAGGGGGGAAGCGCCCCTGATTATTTTTACAAAATTGAAAACTAGTTATGGAAGCTTCCTTCAGCGGTTTCTTGGCAAAAAAAATTTCTCCATAAAATTACTTTGTTGTGATGGAAAAAAATATATTTTAAAAATTTTTTGTTTGTTTTTCAATTTTTGAAGACAACTGTTGTCAAGTATGCGTATTGACTAATTTTTTACGCATTTTCAATAGTTTTCTCATCGTATCACGAACAAAAATTGACACTAATCTTATGGAAAAAAATGAAAAACTGTGTACTAGTTTTTTTTAAAGGTGGTCGGAACATTATGTACTGCTGGCACAGCGGCCGGCTATCTTTGTTTCCATTTGGAATTATTCAACCCGCTGCACGCACATGTTACGCTTCAACAGAAAACTGCAAAGGACACTCGCTTAAAATGTCTCGAATTGGCCACAGTAGTCCCAAATTTAAACTCCTTTTGAAGAAAAAACGCTAATCTCCAGCAAAATAACTTTTGAATTTTGAGTTCGAAGCATCACAGCCTTTCTAGCTGCATGAAATTTTGTCAAAAATTTGTCTGATAAGTAGCAGCAAAATCAGTCATTCACTCAAAAATCGGAACAATCACCCATTTCAGATAAGGCCGCATGCTAAAACAAATGCTGAAAGTTCTGAATTCGCGGTGTCATAAATTCTGAATTTGCAGTGTCGGAACAGTTATTTCAGCAACTGAAAATTATCCTAGCGATTTTACTTGATAGAGCTGCTTTTTGGTCGTGTTCCCGCAAGTGTTTGCGAAGCGCAGCTTTACCTGTGTGTAAAACTGTTTCCTCGAAAAGCTGCAGTTGACTGGGTAGTTCCTATGTCTCTATGTTTGAATAATTCCAAATTTTACTTTTTTTATTTGGGTCTAAATAGAAATCTCTTTGATCCAATACGACAAATGTTATATTTCTGCAATTCCTGCGGAAAAGTTTGACGTTTTTTGGAACTAAAAACAAGCGTTTGCCCCCCAAAGTAAGCTTTAACTATACAGAATATCAATCTAAACATTTACGTACAAAATGAAGAAACGTTAAAAAAACTGTTTCCTCAGAAACCTGCGGAAAAATGGATATAGGAAATGATCCGCGGAGATTACAAATTTATTTATGGATGATAATAAATATTAAATTATTTGAAATCAGGGGCGGATCCAGGATTTTCTCGAGGGGAGATATTGAATTTTTTTTCGAATTTCTGGTCGACTTTTTAAATTTTCTTAGCTATACCATATTTTCTTAGGTCTGCTTAATTTCTGCGCCGCAGGCAAATTTTTGAAAAAAAAACAGGCCAAAAAAGGTTTCTTATTTTTTTGGAAAATGTTGACCAAAAAATTGTGTTATTTGTGCGCGTGCTCCCCCTCAAAATTTGTGTATATTGGCGACGCTTTTTTAAAATTTTAAGGGGGTCGATCAGCCAAAAATACTTTTTTTCTGCGCGTGCTCCCCCTCAAAATTACTATATATTGGCACCAAAAGAGCCTTTTAAAATGAATATCTCAAAATGGTACAAAGAGGGAGGGACTCTTTGAGTCGCCAAAGAGTCGAACTTCTGAGGGCGGAGGGGAGAGGGGACAGACTACTATATCAATATTATAGATTTGAATCAATTCATTTTTTATGAAGTTTTGCACTGTTAATTTTCATTTGCTTGTTGCAAAGAGCAAGCCGTTAAAATAATAGAAATTTTATGAGGAACCTTACTGAGGAATTTTATTTGATGCATCCCTGTAATTCGTTTTTTCCTAGTTTCTGTTAACAGATTTCGTTTTCATTCAATTTTCGGATGTTTTATGTTAAATGCGTGATACTTTTTTTTAACTTCAAATCATAGTTTCATAACAGTATTTGAAAACCAAAAGTGAAGGTATTTCATAATTATAATTTTCAGCAAAACTCGCAATCTCTTTTGGTTTTCAAATTTTTTAATGAAACTATGCCGTGATTTAAAAACATCACGCAATTACCATAAAAACATCTGAAAAAGGAATGAATATAAAGTGCTAAAAATAAACTAGGAAAACAATTAAACACAGGGTGCTTCAAATACACTTCTTGAAAAATTTCCTCAAAAACTATTGAGTATTGAAGCTGAAACACTGCAAGATTGATAAAATCTAACTAGCAGATGACAGTTTTTGTATTCATAATTTTTATCAACTCTGATACCAGATAAGGCAATTATGAGGCTAATTGGAAACTATCATTTTTCTACAAAAAAAACTTTTTATTCGTCTTTTTTTTTCCCAAAACATTATCATTATCAGCTATAAATAATTGTAAAACGTCAAAATTGTATGTATTTCAGACGTCAGCTTGTTTTTCGACTATCATATTGAGTCTTGAATTTTGGAAAAACAAAAAAGCAATTGTCTCTCCTGCCATCAAAACGTCTTTAGGCATTCAGTTTGTGAAAACCCACCGACAAGTGCAATTAAATTATAGTTTTCTGTCATCACTATTTCAATGATCTCAAAAATCTTGATGTCTGTGTAACAAATTTTGAATTTCACGAGTTCATTTAAAATATTTTTGTTTTCTTCATTTTTGGTGAAAACGCATGAGAAACAATCACCCCTTCAATAAATCACATCAGTTGACGGCCTGAAAATATTGTACCTCATTTTGTACTAATTTTTTAAATCTTTTTTATGCTATGACAATTGATGACCTACTCAGCCCAAATCACTTCGTCGTAGGAAATTTGACTTTTTCTCAGTAGAATCTGACTATTTAAGTGAGAATTAGTCACAGGACATAGAAGTTGCAACTTATAGTTTTCAAGCAAGAAAATGAACATAAATTTTTTCGCGTTTGTGCCGTTTTTTTATTCTTCGAAGAAAAGATTGATTATTTGTGCTCGTTGTCGTTTTTTTCTTCAGACAAATTAAGATTTTTAAATAAGCCAGTTTAAAAAGTTTTTATATCATTTAAGCTACCGTCTTGATCTCAATTTTAAAAAATATACATTTTACGTTGTTTAGTATTTTGTAAGTTTTGGGTGTTTGAAAATTGCCAACTGTTTGACACTAATCGCGCGATAATAAATTTTGTGCTTGTAACTTGAAAGCTGCGAGTTAATTCAAAAAAATATATATAAAATCATATTCAACTTTTTTTACTTGAAATTTTACCAGTTTTTAGTTTTTTAAAATAAAATTATTCCATAAGTCCTTCCTTAAGGGGCAGTCTTTTTTGAATCTCAGAATTTTCATAGAAGTGTCAAGCAAGCCGGTTGCACGCCTAAATTACTTATTTTCATGAACTGTTAATATTCAAAAATTCGTTCTTAATACCCTAAAATTCCTAAATAGTGTAGACGACCTATATTTATTAAAAGTTTTTTTTTCTACCCTTACTCTTTGTGAGGTGGTAAATTGTGGGAAAAGGGAATCAAGTGGTAGAGATAGGAAGACAATGCAAGATTGGGAGGGTCATGTGAATATCTCAATTGTATTGATCTGTTATACTATAACTAAATATAACCAAAGTATCAATGCGTTCACAAAGTGGTTTTACTTGGCAATCACTTGGTAGAGTTTTGTAGATGGCACCATCTGTCGTCCTGTGCCCGTACTGGTAGACGTCTTATCTTTGTTTTTATCGCCTCTCTATCACTCGGTCTGCCTTCTATTTTTGTCGTCTAAAAGATCTACTCCCCTTCAAACTCCTTCCTTTTGATTTCTTATCTTGGTTAAAACTAAATGATGTCCCGTAATTTGAAGCAAAAAAAAATGCAGAAATAAACTCGCAGGCTTAATTTTTTTTTTGAAAAGTTTTGTTCAAGCAAATTATTGTCTTAGTGATAAGTTACATCCCTTCTCAATACGCCCATTCGAAGTGTAATTATAACATATTTCTACCTTAAGTCAATTGAGTTAGCAATAGCTTGCTACTTTTTTCTACTATTCCGCCTGTTTTTATTGGAATACCTGCACATTGTGCACTTTGGGGTTAAATTAAAATGAGATGAGCCAGTTTACTTTAGAATAGAGGAGTAAGAAGAGTAAATTAATTTGATGTGCCTCTGCTTTTGCTGATGTCTTTTTGCGTCTTGAGCAAATGATTGTTTTCGTTCACCCATTGACAACTTAATTACACGCCTTACATGCCGCTGTGTCGGCCATAGTGCGGCTTCTATTATGCCCTCATCTCTCCTCCCTTTGTGTGCATCCCAGATCAGCCCCGACTCAATTAGCGGCCTGACACTCGTCTGCTCCGGCTAAAAGCTCCAGCCCCCGACCCAGCAGCTCCACAAATGCACCCGAATTCAATTTGCATCAATCCCATTATTCCGCCATCCATCCATCCAAACTAACTTCCCCACAGCCCAACTCCCTACCCCATCGTCCTCTTTCTCAGCCCCTCCCCTTTTACACCTGCAAATGCAGCCTCACTCCACCAGACAGTTAAAATATTCCACGAAAAACAATTAGTCTAGGCTAGCAGCTGATGCATATCGAGTTACTTAATTAACTGTTTCTAATTGTGTTGAAACCAAATATTGAGCCTGTTCTGTTCTGACACCAAGGGGCGGATCTGTTTTGGCCAGGCAAAATTTTGAAAAAACAGGCCAAATAGGCGTTTTTTTGCACTTTTTGGAAAATTTTGATAATATATCGCTTTTTTTTGGCGCGCGCTCCCCCCTCAAAATTAGTATATATTGGCACCTTTAGAAAAAATTGTTAGGTTCCGTCACCAAAATGGATTTCTCCCTCGTTTTTTCTTAGGGGTCGAATCCCTAAGAAAAACGTTCGCCCCCATCCACCTAAATCCGCCCTGTCTGAGACGTTTGTTCCAGCAACACGATAAAAAAAGTAAAAAGAAACATAAATTTGTAAAAATTTGTCTAAGTACAATAAATATTTTCAAAGATTATGCAGTCATATTTTATACATTTAAATGACAGGGGCTATCGATTTTATTTAAAAAACATTGACTTTTTTTTTCTTAATGTACATACAAATATGTCCTCAAATCAACAAAAATGAGTATTTTATTTATGTCAGCATCTAATATAGAGAAAAAGATCAGAAATTTGATTGAAAATAGATGCTTGAAATTTATAACGTACGCTGAAAATCTGTTTTTATTGAATTTTGAAACTTATTAGTTTTCCGACTTTGAAACTTTTCTCCTGCTGCTTTGATATCATAGAGAACGCATCTGATTTATTGCAATGAGGTCTGCACTCGAAGGGGCGCCTGGAAGTTGCAGCTGGCCTTGGTTCTGGCTGTTGTGAGGTGCTCCCGTCAACGACAGCCCTGCCGGAATGGCCGCACATCTACCCGAGACGGCGGCAGCGGAGGACGAGTGATTAGTCATTGCGAAGTAGGAGTCGTAGAAACTGTTCGGCGACGGGCCGCCTCCCACCCCCGCACCTGTCTGCGAAGAAGCAGCGGCGAGAGAGGTGAGATGAGAGGGAGTGTTGATGGTGTTGTTATTTACAGAAGAAAGAGCAGGAGGAAGAGAAGCAGCGGCAACTGCTGCTGATGACGTCAGTCCATTGGCTAGACTGCCCATAAAGGCAGTACCTGTGGTCGAGTTCGCATACATTCCACGAGCGCCCGGGTGGTCGAATGGTGTGGCGGGCGCACAATTGTACCCGTAGAATGCTGGTGCTGCATACGCTGGTAGATTAGAGTAGAAATTGTTCGCCAGCATGTGGAACTGATGATTAAAACCAGTTGCCGGACTGACTGATCCTCCAAACTTGTCCATGGTGTTGGGAGTGTTACCTGTTGGCGTTTGATGAAGATGGTGATGTTGCTTCTGAGAACGCAGCTTTTCTTCTCGCCTCCATTTGGCTCGTCTGTTTGAGAACCAAACTTGAATGCGAGCTTCTGGTAGATTAATTTTACCGGCTAGTCTTTCACGAGCAAACACATCCGGGTAGTGGGTAACTTCGAACTCTGCAATACAATAAATCATTGGTAAACGTCAATTTTTTATCAAAAAACTTAGCGAAATCAGAATGAAAATCAAAATACTTGGTTAAAATTCTTAGAAGTGATTCTAAATTGCTTGCTATTGGAAGCAAAATAAAGTCTTTTTTGTTATGTTAACTTACGTTTCTCAAGTGCTTCAATCTGCTCAGGCGTGAATGAAGTTCTATTTCTCTGCAGCTTGCGTTTCAGTTGCATCCTCGCTTCCTCTGAAGCGGCTACACTTAGTCCAACTCCCCCTTCCATATCCATATCAGACCCTATCATTCCCATAGTCTTCTTGTCACAGCTCCCAAAACCCCCTTGCACCGCCGCTTGGGCCGCCGCTGCGGCGATTGCTATGTACTGAGATCCGGGTGAAATGTTGTAGGAGTAAAATGGCGAAGGGGATGCCCCTGGGGTTACTTTACCCCCACCCCCATTGGAACATGGCCAGCCATTGTTGGACCCAGGCGACTGGTTTGGTCTGTAGTGAGTCATGATTTTGTACGTCCCGTTTGCAACAGCAGTCGCCGCATCCGTTGCGTCATCTGAGTTCTGTGCGCCGTTACTTCCTGGAGTGTGTAGAAGGGTTCCTGAGTTAACATTTGCCACTGAATCTGAACCAGGACTGTGCTTAAGGTTGTGATTGTGATCAGCAGGAGTAGAGTTCGAAAGGTTCCTTAAAACTCGGTTGATTGAGGAGACGGAAGGAACTGTGTCCTCTTTGCACACCTGGTCTTGTAAGAGTCGGTCTCTGATTTCCCACGCGAAAATAGATGCGCATTCCTGTTTGTAGTCGGCTATTTTGTTCACGACGTCCTGTGTTGCCACTCTTGGCTTGCTGCCCCCGATGGCTTTTGGCTTGATGGTGCCTGTCTCATAGTATCTGCCCAGTATCTTTGACACACACCCATTTGAAACCTAAGGCAAACAGCACTTTCATTTTTTATAACAAACACTATAGTTTTATTACCCGGGTCGAGGTTTGCGAACTATGTTTCGAACGAGAAGGGTCGAACACTTGTCAGAGTTCGACCGAAAATCCATAGTCGAGAAGGCCCTATAGTCGAACTCAAGGTCGAAACATAAATACCTTTTTACGGGGTAATGTACCCTTTCAAGCAATGCCCCGAAAAATTTTGGCTGAGTTTTCATATGAAAACAGAATTTACAAACATGAGCTGTCATTTTGATATATCTTGATAAAAGACGGGTCAGAAGGTTTTCGGTTAAGTTACCAAAAAGAAAACGGAAAAAAGGAGTTATTAGGTTAAGCACCTGCAGCAGCCGGGATATGTCGCATGGTCTGGCACCACTGTGAGCCAGTTCCACTATCTTGGACCGAGTGGACTCCGGCAGGGGTCTCCCATTCACATACACTCCCCCCAGCTGGTTCACACCACTGTGACCTAATTCAACAGAAATTGACGATGAGCAAGATGAAGTTGATCGCGAGGTTCCCTTTTTCAGATAAATTACCTTCAGGCCAAATTTGTATAATCATCCGTGTTGTGAGTTGTAAATTAATAATTTTTGTGCTCTAATCATCAAAAAGGGATTATTGTTCCGAGGTTTGAAGAGAGTGACAGAGTATTCTTCTTAGACGCTAAAGCGCAGGAACGGAACGATCAGGGGTTTGCCCTAATTTGAGTTGAGTCCTGTTGTTTTTTTACCTCGAATACATGTTATGCTACGTTTATTGTTTCGGTCACCGTTTCAATACAAAAATCAAATGAGTGAAGCCTTTCAAAAGTTATACATTTTTCCTTGAAAATTAATGCACAACTAAAATTCTTTTCCATTCCAAGCAAAAAATTGTTCTAGTATTTATGTCAAGCTTCACTACAATCAATTCATTGAAACGACTCTCAAAACTTTGGCGGAATTTATTGAAAGCTTATTCCGAATACCGAAATCTCGATGTTGTTGAAGCTAAAAAATTGGAAGTGTTTTTTTGAAGTTAATTCCTAACTCCTGCTATTTGGTTCTGTTTCGAATGTTGCATGATGGAAAAAAATATTGAGCTTTCATGTCAAACTGGGCAGATTGGGTTTAGATGGAGCCATTAGTTGTCTCTGTTTAATTAACGAGACATAACTCTCAGCTTATTTTTGATGATCAACTTAATCCATTCTCAATTTCGTGACCCTTTCCAGCCATTAATTACTTGTGACCATATTAAACAAAACATCGAGGGTTTCCCAACACTCAAAAAGCTCCAATCCTGCCTCTGAGAGAAATGGGTTTTGTGAACAGATTTTATGGGTTCAATGTGGAAATTAAGTGATGGCCGAAAATAAAACTAAGTAACTTCGTTGAAGACTAATAACCAGTAAATCCAATAACTCTCTTCAACTAGTTGCTTTTAGTTGCCTTATGTGTTAATTTCTTGTGCATTGTTGCCATTATTTCCACTAGATTAGCTCAATTGTACTTTTTGTTTCTGCTCCTGTGATCAACTTCAGGCTTAAAAGTTCAGCTATGTGAGGGGAGATAGGATCTGGATATTCCGGTGCAGTATAGTATGTGTGAGGGGTGAAGGGGGAGGGGTGGGGATGAGTTTAGGGGTCTAGTGAGAGGGAATGGGGTAATTGGAGTCTTTGGAGGGAGGTGGGTGGAAGTAATGAGGGAAATTAATCGCCATCCTCTCAGAAATGGATCCTCCACAACCCAACAACACATTAGACCCCTCTTCCGCCCTTCCCTCTCTTCACTCATTCCGTTATTCTAGACAACCCTTCGCTCAGTCAACGCAGGCAGGATAGACAGTGTTTAGCTCACTTTTGTAGCTTGCGTAAGCTCTCAAACTTCTACTTCCTCGAATTCAAACATTAATAGGAAAAGTGGATCAATGGATGTATTTTGCTTAAATTTTAATTGAATGAGCAAAATTTTTGAAGAATTCAATTTCTTGGAGAACGTGTTTTTGCGGCGAATTATAGGAAGGTCGAATGATACTTAAATATTAATAGTTAAACGCTAGACACAATTAATTATGCGAGTTATATTGGTCAAGCTGGGTGGGTAACTGCTAATTGATGGATGCAGCAACAGGCACATCGACTAACTGAAGCGAAAGCGATTCGTTTTAAGCACTTATGATGGAGCCTGAAGGCGAGAATACACCTCATGAATAACTCCTAAGGGAAAGCGAGAAAGGCTAGTCGGGGTGAGGCTATGAAAAATAGATGAGAGGGGGAGTACTATCTACACACGCATTTACGACTGCGTGAATCTCTGCTAATTGATAACGTTTATGGTTATTGAGCGTAATAACGAGTGCATAAATAAACCATAACTCCCCCGTCTCCCACTTTAATATATCCATTCCACCTCTATATTTCGACATCATTTAGAAGATGAACACATCAAATTCGCTATCGGAGGATCATAACCCGCTCTTGGACCCAGTATGGGTAAACAACAAACAGAAAAGAACAGGAAAATAAAACAACAGGTACTAAACAGGATAGATATATTTAGAGATAAGACAGCGCAATGTAACTTAAATTCTACACTGAGTAGATAAGACGGATGGAGGACTCTAATAGAATTGAGATGAGGCCTCAATAAGCAATCAAAGTTGCCGCTATCTTTTTTTTGAAACTAGACCACAGTAAAAATTCGGATTTAATTCGGATAACATTTGATTAGAGCTTTTTTGTAAAAGTTCGATTTTAATTGTCTAAGATTGGGGCTTGGATGTGTTACCTTGGTTTTAAAATCTATCACGTATCAAGACAAAACACAGCAACGCTTCGGGGAAAAAGACAAACCACATGACGGAGAAAATATATCGGTTTGTGTCGGCATGCTACGCATCTTTTATGTTTGGTGCCAGTTTTCTGTTGTATTGAGTTTAGGTATAGCTGGAACCACATCATGGTTCATTTAGAGGCATTGGTGATAACTATTTAAGACAATTTATCCACCACGGAAAGCGGCAGGACTCACTTCTCCAAACGTTTGATTGACAAGTCGAGACTTGGTCACTTCACTACAGCTCCCCCTTCAAATTACCCAAATGGATACTTCAATAAGCGTCAAATTTCAGAAATTTGTTATTTAATTTTTGGCTGAAAAGTTTTCGGCCACAAATAGATATGGCAAAAAATGTATATAAAAAAATCTTCGAATGCGGAAGGCCTTGAGCCTAAAAATATTGGGGGAAGGTACATGCCTGGTTACTTATTTGAACTGACCATAACTTGATTTCTGCTTTTGATACTTGAGAAATAATAATGTAGCTGCTTTTGGTTGGCTTACAACTGCTGTTGGAATCTGCCACGATAGAGTGTTTATGTCCAGAAGGTCTCGCTATGCTATTCTTTGCTTGTTTCTGCTGCTGGTCTAATTAGGCATTGCTTCCAGCTGATGAGCTGCTCTATCGTGTGAACAAAGCAAAAAAGGCACCGAGCAGACGTTTTATTGAACTATTAGAGGAATATAGATGGATATTCCAGTGTGAAATAGAAGACAGTCGCCGACTCTGCTAATTGACGGGTAGCTTTCAAAAGCCACTCAAAGATCTGTTATATCTCAAAAAAGAAGAGTGCAGCCAACTTTCATGAGTTCGCATATGTTCTTTTTGCATTTCAAATCATCCGATTAATATTTAGGGGAAAAATCGACTATGTGCATATCGTTGGCCCATGATGTTTTTCCTAACCATTTTGAAAAATGTTCAGAATAAAAAAGTTGAATGATAAGGTTTTGTCAACTTAAAAAAATTCTCATATAATTTTTAAAATTAACCTGTTTCCCAACTGATTTAGTGTTTATTCCCAGCTAGAAGAAGTCTTTGGAATGGGCCGACATTTCAGTGTAATAATTTCTATTGTGAACTATCCGTCAATGAGCGTGGAAATAATGAAAAGAGAAGCTACACTAGTGTGAGATCAAATTCATTGGTCAAGTTCACAATCATAGAACACATCGTCTTAAAATGGATTTATTATAATGGCTTAGCAATTTAAAGTGATTATTATTAAGAGACGGTTGTAAGATTTTCAAAAAAAAAACTCAATTGTTTTAGGACTTTTTTCTAGTCCAACCAAATTGATTTCCCGAGCTCTCCCAAAACACTCAAGGCGCCTTGGGTGACAACATATACTCATTTTTAGTTCGGTTTCTCTCAAAAAAGGTCGTGAAATTGCTTATATTTAAAAAACCGCCCCTTGGAAAAATCTTTTTAGGTCCATCATGATCCATTGCATGCAAGGAAATTAAGTGCATTGCTATATTGATTTAGTTTGAAATATTTATCAAACATTCTGGGCGTTTTTTTTTCAGCGATGCGCTTGATTGCTTAGGGTAAGGGAGTAAAACAGCATCTCAATTTTGCATTATTTAGGGCTATATTTCTGCATTCTTACCTTTATGTGGCATATTCATCGGAAAGCTTGTGAGATTTTTCGTCCGATTGCAAACTCGATAGTATCCACAATCTCCTCCAATTAAAGTTTTTGTTCTCAAGGCGAGTTATTTCTAAAACGAAAGAAAACGCTGTTAAATCAGAAATACATTAAGGATGATTTTATGCTTGCAATACTTCGCAAAGTGAGCGGGAAGAAACTATGGTGCATGGTAGTTTTTTCTTGTAAAATCTAAACGTAACAAAAAAATGTCAGATTAGGTTGAGTAATACACCAGTTTGAAGCTCGATTAATTGTGATTCAGATTCCAAAAATGTTCCCTCAGTGTAGAGAAAAATTGAAAAATTGGTTTGATTATTTCCGTTTTTAAGACTGCGGGTTGAAGGTTGAGGGGGGGGGGGGGGGGGTGAGAGAGAGAATTAAAGAGAAATTTAAGTGCAATAGTTTAGCCATTTATAAATTACCTTGTCTATGAAAATGATAGACAACAAAGAAAATAATCAATGCTTATGAAAAAAATGTTAAAGCTTGACTTTTTTTTTACAAATTTTTTCAGTTTGTATCTAGACTTCGTCGCCAAAACTTTTTGTGTCTATTACACCAAAATCTGGTACTCTTTCTTTAATTGAGCTTTTAAATGTTACATTTCTCCGTAGACCACCAAAGTTCAGGAAAAACATTGTAATCGGGTGTTTTTCAAGCAAAACGAGCACCCAAATGGTGGCTTTACCACGATAATGCACTCGCTTGCGTACGAACCGTCGTTGAAGTACTTGAATAATGGCGTGAAAAAACAATTAGGATTTCAAACAGCTAGCTAACAGTTGGAAAAGAGTCAATAAAAGCAAGTAAACAGACAGAAAAAACGAATTTGTTTTTTTTGAAAAAATTTCGAAATTCATTTAAAAAAATTGATGGCCTTAATGTTCTTGATTCTTAGAGCAATTCATGATTGGCAATTTTTGATAAAATAGAAAACTGGATCAATAAGTAATATTTTTATTTTGCTGGGAAACCTGAAAACTAAATTCCATTTTCGAAACAAGAAGTTGACCACGTTTTTCGTGGCCTTTACAGTTTTGCTGTTTGATAGTGGAGTTCGCTTTCCTTTTAACAAAGAAAACGAACTGAACTTTAAAATAAATCAGAAGTCAAGCCGTGAAAAATTACGCTTCAAGACTTTTAGTTGCTGAAAAAAAAAAAAAAAAATTTTGCGACCTATATAAGAGTCTGAATTACGTTCATTGACTCTTTAAAATCAAAAACTACTACTATATGAAAATTAAAATCAGTATTTCCCGTGAAATAAAAAATTTTTACATTCTTTAGACGTTGATTGAACTGACCTTAGACCGGGCAATGTCAAATAAATCGAGTTGATGTGATTTGAGTAGGAATTTGTTTGTCTGTGCCTCTTTCTGTGTTGGTATAGACTGCTAAGTGAAGAAACGCAGTGGCAGAAAATTCGGGACTTTAAAGGAAGTGAAGATGTTGATCAGCTGCTGATGATACACCCCAGTTTCACAACCTCAATATAGTTTTACAGGAATTGCTGGTATAATCAAGTAACTTCACTCTGGCACACGTTTTGTTTCTACTGGATCCAAGCACAGACTGAATTTTTTCTTCTTTTCTTCTCTATTTTTAGTGTAGCAGATCCGAATATCTAATTATTCTCCTGGAAAAGTTTTTGCTCTTACACCTGCCTGTTGGTTTTTGAGTGTGGTCTGCAATTACTGTTTCGGATGACTTCGTAATGATGCTTCTCCTACCCTGTTAGGCTCCAAAGGTTCCAATCAAGTGTCCTCTTTTACTGATGACAATCTATCTGAATTAGTTACCTGTGATTGAGGCAGTCTAATATATTGTCGTCGAGCGATGGGGTAACTAGACAATTTGCTTGTGTGTTGTCGAGTGTATTGGGTTGGAAACTACTACAAACAACATTCATTCAGTGTACCAGAAGAGAAGATATGGACTGCGAAAGGCGTGAACAATTCGGGTCTAGTTGGGTTCGATGGTTTGTTGTGTGCTGAATTTACTTTGCTTCTATCTTCCGAGTCAATTCTTCTTCTTACGTTACTATTTTATTTTCCGTCTCTTATCCGAACAGAAAGAATGGAAAAAAGCGTCGTGATTGGTTTAAAGTGAAGATTTTTATCAGTTTATAGGAAAATGAAGCTCAACTGAAGCGAAATTAGTCTCAAGCATAGAGTGATCGATCCCTCCTGTAACTAAGTGAAGTGAATTGGAGCCCCTTTGTTATCTCCTATTCGCTCTTTTTCCCTCTCTGTATTCTTTCCCCAGTTCAACTTTACCTCATTCTTTCACATCTGTACCCTCTCTGTTCGCTGATTGGCTGGCCGTCTCTTCCAATCAGAGACTTTCATTTATTCCCTCTCTCCGCATTAGCCGCACCTGGTTGATTACTACCCATAATTCCATTCAACCCAAGGCGCAATTAGAGTAATTTGACCCTAGTGTACACCCGGGTTGCTCATTATCACATCTAGCAACTGGCCTCATTAACCATTGAAAACCAACAAATGCACCTTCTGCCACAATCGTAACATTTACTCAATCAAAAGCAAAATAATGATGCCAAAATGACAGACAGGTATTCTTACAGTTATTGAATTACAAAAGCGTAACTATACAACCGGAGGTCAGATGTGCAAGCAGCATAACCTCTCCGACTGTACGGTTTTTGTTTATCTAAAAACGACAGAAAACTTAAGAGAAGTTATTTCAATTTTAAGATTTTTCGATCCACGTTTTTATCAACTATTTTTTTTTCAAATTACACCTTAACAGGTTTTGGTATAACAGAACTACCAGCGGATTTAGGGGGGTGGTCGGGTGCGGACGACCCTCATTCAGGGATTCGACCCCCTGCCGACCCAAAGAGTCCCCTCTTTGTACTATTTTGAGTTATCCATTTTTGGCTGACTGACCCAAAAAAAAAATTTATAGACACTTGGCGCCGAAATATACTTACTTTTGAGGGAGGAGCGCACGCCAAAAAAAACGCAGGTGGCCCAAATTTTCCGAAAATTGCCTAAAAACGCTTTTTTTGGCCTGTTTTAATTTTTGCATGCGGCAGTCTTTTCAGTGATTTACGAGAGCTCAGAAAATCAATATGGTCGACCTAAAAAAAGGTCGACAAAATTTTCAAAATTTTTTGAAAATCCGCCCCCCCCCCCCCCCCCCCCCCCCCCCGAGAAAATCCTAGATTCGCCTTTAATTTATACATAACCTATTCTATGAAAATCATAGACAACAAAGAAATGATCTCACTGAAAAAGAGTTCTTTGTTTTATCGGCGAATCAATACATGAGCTTTTTCTCATGAACCTTATGAAATGAACGTTAAGTTAAAATTTCCATTTTCCTTATAACTAAACCCATATTGAACTTTGACAATTATATTAATTTTTATTGAAGTGTAACTTCTTAATATTCTAGTTTTTTGCTCATAGTTTTACTGTCAATTCATTTGTGGTTTGCTCAAAATTAGGTCACAAAAAATTTTCAGGTTTTAAGTTTAAAGTTAAAGATTTAAGTTTAAAGATTTTAAGTTTTCAAGTTAAGTAACTTTGCAAATTTTCCATAACTATTTTTTGAAAGCAAAATTGGGCTCCCAGCTGAGCAGAAAAACCAGAAGCATTTGAAAAAGTCCTTCTCTAGACTTCATATTTGGGATTACCCTTGCGATAAGCAAGGGTATGCAATCGGGTACTGAACATTTGTTCCCGTAAACAACTTTGTTCATAGAATAGTCATTTTTAGTAGGAAAATGAGCATCTCAGCAGCTGTGAAATTCACGATTCCTACTAAAAATGACTATTCTGTGAACAATTTCAAAGCTGCTGAGATGCTCATTTTCTTGAAAATTTAAAAAAGACTACCATCATATAGGTAGTAATTAGGGGAAGTTAGTTTCAGACAATAGCTTTGTTTCAAACAAAATTCTTGAAAAAAGATCGTTTTTTTTCTAAATATATTCGTGGTTTTGTCCAAGTTTCCGTCGATTTATTTTCATTTTTGCTAAAACGAAGTTTATCATCTGGTCAGTTTTTTTGGGCCTACTTTCCGAAGCATATGTTTTTTTTTATTTTAACAAATTTGACTATAATTAAAAGTTCTGCAATTTGTACTTTTTTTATCCAATAAACGGTTTTAGATTATGTTATTCCATCTCAGTCAAATTCTTTTACGTGCTTCGAAAATAATTTCTTTTCCTTTTTCTTATGTGTTTAGTAAAAATTTTAAAATTTTATAGCTCAAAGTTTTTTATGACAACATTTTTTTGGCTGCCATTTTTTTTAAATCTGTTGTTTTGATAAGTCTTTTCTTTAACATTGAACCCTTTTTTCAGTTTCATTTCTAATGGGCGTAGGGGCAACACCATGGCATTTACATCCTAAGGTCTGGGGTTCGCGTCTCGGACGGACTTTTTTTTCAGTTCGTGTGCAATTGAAAAAAAAATCGGTTAAACATGATTAGTTGGTTTTTTCTTTGTCTGCTAAAGTTTTGTCAGCTAAATTGCCAACAAATGCTTGTTTTGATTGTGCTTTAAACATATTTCATTGCAAGGGCAAGTATTGTTCATTCTAGTATCAGGGGAAACTTGAAACATTTTAGTTTTTTTGGATCAACTTGTGTCTGCTCAAATGTTGTCGACTTTGTTGCTTTTTTGTAAGCTTTGTTTCGTTGCCAGTTTTTTTTAAAAAAATTTCTGGTATAATATCAAAAATTTTCTAAAAAAAGAAGTTTTTATCAAGACACATCAAGAAATTTAATTTTTCAATTTTTTTTGCAGACCTAGTTTTTTATATTTTTTAAACTTTTTCTTTTTTTCTTTTTCTTTTTTTTTCGATTTGTTACGTTTTCCATGTTATTTTTGCATAGCAAGTGACGCGAAGCTCCGCTTCGACTCTGTTTCTAAAAACTTCTTCTCATTTACTGAAACAAAATAAAAAGTGCGCATCGAAATTCTGAAATACTAGAATTTTGATGATTTTTTTTAGTTTGTAGTCGCTTTGAACAAAGCATAAAAACAATATTTTTCTGATTTAATTGTAGACAAAATGATTGAAAAAAAAATGTTCAAAATAAAATTAAAAAATGAGCAAATAATTTTTGTAAATTAAAAAAGTAATAGCCAGAAGAACATGAATCAGGTAAAAAGGTTTTACCTGATTCATGTTCTTCTGGCTATTACTTTTTGGGTTCTTTAAACATTTTTCATCATAATAGATAGATGAGATTTGATTGCTTGTTTTCAAGTTGGTTCAAATTTGTACCGCGAGTTCAACAAATAACAAAACAGGATGAAACAAAAACTCCCCATTACTTGTGGCCAATCATGGCTAGGGCCGAAAACGACATTTTCTCATTACAAAGACATAAATTTTTATAAATGGGAGTTAATGTTAATTGATTTGAAAAAACGTGAGCGCGCACAAAAAAGCAAAATTTTCAAAATAACGCCTAAAAACGCCTGCAGCAAATTTGGTCAAAATTGGGTCTTTATTGTGACTTGGTAGAGTTCAAAAAATCAATTTGATCGACCTAAAAAAAGGTCGACAAAACTTTCGAATTTTTCTGGAAAATCCCCCCTCCTCGAGAATCGCCCCTGGTCATCATGATCCAGTATCTTCTTAGCTCAACCCGCTGCAGCCCAGTCGTTCAACAACATTAGAAGTAAATTGGATCCAGCATCAATTGAAGAACTGATTTGGAAGCACGTTAAACAAAAGTCGCCCAATATCCTGTCGGGACAAAAAGAAAGTCTTATCAATCAAATTATAGGAGAGCAGAAACTTACAGAGACGTTTTTACACGGTGTTGAAAGGAAACGGAGGCCATTTTGAACAGTTACCGAGAGCGGTTGGTTCGAGAAGCCAAGGTTTTAGTTGTCAACCTCAACCAGACAACCATATAAGAAAGCAACTGGCTTGACTGATGAAAGAATTAGTAGACAGTTTCCCGCGGCGGAAGTGGTTGATTATGTTGATCAAAAAAGACTTCAAAAACTCCATGATCAATCTAAACTGAGAAAACTGCAGAAAGTGTTTCAATCTTTGAGCTTCTTTTTATTCTCTGATGTGCTATTCTAAGTGCTAATCTAAGTGCTATTCCTCTGATTATTTTTCATGCAATAATCATCATTGCAAAACACCAGAAGAAACGTTGTTTTAATGAAATCCTGAACACCAATGAACACAAAAAAAATATTGTTTGATTCACCTTTGGTGCTGGTACCTTCACGGCTTTTCGATAGTTGTTAAGAAAACAGTTGATGCAATAATAACTCATGAAATGAACCTAGAGAACGCTTTGTTTTAAACAACTGTGCAATGAGAAAACTGCATTTCAGAAATTTTCCAACACCAAGTTTCTCGCTTTCTTGTTGTGATGAAGGTTCCAAACGTGTTCCCAAAAGTTTTTTCGACCAATAAATGTCTCACTGTAAATCAATATCAGCAAAACAAAACTGTCGTTTTACAGCGAGAGATGGAACACAACACCGGCACTTGCCCGTCAATTAGTCAACTGATACAGCACCACTGGCAGATAAGTGTCACCGAAGGCGACTAACCTAAACTCGAATTAACTAGGAACTCAAACTAACTATATATCCTAGTCAGTTCGATTTTAGGTTAGTCACCTTCGGTGACATTCATCTGCCATTGGGGCTGTAAGAGCTGACTGATTAACGAGCAGGTAGTGGTCTTGTGCTTACGCTTGCGATTAGCAAATCTTATCTTATTAGACTTTTTTCGGCTTATTAACTAGTTTATCAAAATCAATTGAATCACTTATTCAAGCTCGGGTTCAATTAGGACTAATCATATAGGAGATTTTGATGACGCTAAGCTGCTGACATGCTCAATATCATGAAAAATCAAATTTAACTACTGGGTGGGTAATAGTTACTACAGGGTAATTTCAAGGGAGGGGACCCGAAACTTTTTTTTTTTTAATTTTTTTTTCGGCGCAACTGGGGTCTGCTCAAAGATTTTCGGCCTTGTTTCCGCTTCGTAAGTTTTGTTCAGTTACTATTTTCAACCTCAAATGTCTTGCTCAGCATGTTTGCCTAGAGTTGATGTTTGATAAAAACAGGCATTATGAAAATGTATGGGATTGGGTTTTAGTTCCCCTGAAAAATTAGGAGGGTGTTTGCTTCATGATTATGATGGTCTTCAAGCATCTTCTCGTATTCATGCCGTTTTATGAGAATCTCGATGCTGCTAATGCTCAACCACTTGTTTCTGGTTTTTCCAAAGTTTCTTATTTTTA